TGTTTCCACTGATCCAATTTTACAATTGTGCAAAAACAAACACAAAAGAAGAGCAGGAGATGGCATGACTTTCTACTGAAGGAAAATAGTGATGTGTCGGTCACGAACGAACCGGCTCTAAGAGCCGGCTCTATGATATGAAGTGAACGACGGGAGCCGGCTCGTCATTGGGAGTCGTAACACCCCCCCCCCCCACACACACACACACACACCCGCTTTGGTGAAAGCTACAGGTCAACATGTGTGACTGCGTGTCCAGACTGTCCACATACAGGGCAGCAGGGGCGGGGAAGAGGGTGGATCAGACTCAAACAGACACACAGCAGAGCACATGCGGGCGGAGGGAGACGAGAGAGAATGAGGAGGAGGAAAATGGCGAGAGGGAGGAGAGTGCGACGAAGACGGTGAGAAAATGAGCGACAGCAGTCGGAAAGTTGAGATTTCTTAAAGTGTTCAGTTAATAAATCCATATAAATGATAAATATTTGATCAATTGCATTTTTTTACATTAGTAAATCATTTTACGTATAGTATGCATCAGGGACGAAATTTTGATTTCAGAAGTGGGGGGGACACAGCAGGCTTGTGCGGATTTGGGGTGGGGGGTGTTATGTAAAGACCCCTTGACACGTCACATGCCCATCTCAATCATTTTTCCATCCTCAATATATATATATATATATATATATATATATATATATATATATATATATATATATATATATATATATATATACATCAAAGTTAAAAAATGTACAACTCTATTATTATTTTTATTTATTATCATTATTGAAGTGCAGTTTTGGCTGTTGACAATGGATAGGCCATTGTATTTATTGTTTTGGGTCTTTTTTTATTGTTTTTGGTGCAACATTTTCTAACGGGGAGTGAGATTCCTTTTTTATTTAATTTTTGTTTGTTATTTTTATTCATTTAGAAGTTCTGGTTCTGGACATTTCAATGTTAAATGAAGGGTTCTTTGTTGCATTTTAAAGGGTGTACTTGCATTATTATGATATATTAACATTATATTAGTGGTTATTTTGGTCTAGATAATGTTGACAATATCGTTTATCATCAACAATTTGTTGGACAAAATATCGTCCAGCAAAATGTGTTACTTTCCCAGGCCTAGTCAAAAGTATAAAAATTATTTATACATAAACGGTCCTCCTGAGATCTGGCCATTTGTTCATTTGCTGTGTTAGAGGACATGCTGAACTAATGTTTTACACATGATCATCACCCTAACATTTGAGTGTATAAAAACATATTAAATATGTTTTTCCCCTTAAAAGTGTTTAAACAGTTGTTGCATTTCAACACACAAAAAATAAATGGAAAAAATAAGATAAATCTAATGAAAAGTGTACATCTTTGACATTAAGCTTAAAAAAATCTGTTGACGATGATGATACTGTTCATTTTTCAGAACTTTTTAATGTGAAAATATGCATTGCAATAGATAAGTTTACAATAAAGTTAAATGATAAAAGTTTTGAAGTTACACTTCTACTACTACTAGTAATAATAATTATGATGATAATAGTAATAATAAAAAAAAATAATTATAATAATACGAATAAATTGTGTCTGAGGAGTCAGTTATGTGGAGGAGATGAGTTTGTAAAAGTTAGTTTTGAGTTTGTGTGTGAAGGAGGAGGTGAGTCTGAGCTTAATGCAGGGGTGTCACATGTTCCAACTTACGTTTTGACTTTGAAAGAAGTCTCTTATATCCACTTTTCGGTTTCTTGACATGCTGCCTCCTGGCTGTGCCTAACTACCAAAGACTCACAAATGAACACTTATTCAAATGTTATGTAATGGAAGCTGAGCTGAGCTCTGATATTACACAGCGTCTAGTTGACGATGTGACTCAGTACCGGTGTTCCCTAGCGGCTCCAAACTAGCAAAACAACGTGAGCACGTTCTGACTGTTTACAACTTGAGTGACAGCAGCAACAGCCAATAATACGTTAGCAAGTATCAGCAGAGCCAATAGATTAGCTTTTGGGCGGGTCTAATAGGAAACCGGTTTCCGTTTCGGTCCTAGTGCTCAACCAAATCCATTTAATGGAGCGTAACATTGTTTTTGGACGGAAAAAAGTGCAAGGGACCAAAACTGCCTTTTGAAAAAGTGGGGAGGACATGTCCCACCCGTCCCCCCCCAAAATTACATCCCAGGTATGCATTATTTTTGGTGATAAATATACTTTACGCAACAGAAAATCTGAGGAGCCACTTGGGAGCCGAAAGAGCCGGCTCTTTTTGGTGAGCTGAGCCAAAAGAACTGGCTCTCTAAAAAGAGCCAGAATTCCCATCACTAAAGGAAATTATAATATATATACATATATATATATATATATATATATATATATATATATATATATATATATATATATATATATACATACATATATATATATATGTATATATATATATTTATATACAGTATATATATATAATTTAATCTTTCACCAGCTTTAGCATTCTGCAGCATTTTTTTTTCAATTTACAGTTCACCTGGCACCTTGTATAAACTGCAGGTTCTATGCATTTTAATCCCAGTATTTAATATGCAAGAGACTTGACATCACAGCCAAAGAGCAGATGGCTCAGCAACAGAAAGACTTCAGACAAACTAAAAGGAAGTATGGAAAAAAAAAAGGTCCCGAGCTGGAATAAACCCATCTGCTCGCAGATGGATGCAGAATTCATTTGAGGCAGTTACAAAAGGCCTGTTTCTATTTTTGTCATCTTACGCTGAAGGTGGGATGGAGGCTAAAAGGAAAACGAGGGGAGAAGTGGATAAATAAGGAGGTGTCTGCTTCCTGAATGCATCTGGCCTTGTTACCGGCGCTGGTGCACATATAATCATTGGCTTTGACGTGTTTTGTTACTTGTTAATCACAGTAACGTGTTTGTTTGGAGCCAAAGAACACTATCATTACATTTTGATGTAAACAGAGAGCCCGTATGTAGAGAACAATCGAAGGCTTTTGGCCATTTCCCTTTTTATTACAAATTGTTCCTGGGTCTAAGGGTCTGGTATATATTGTAAACTAAATGTGTGCATGAAAAACGTTGAGCTGCTTTACTAACCAGCAAGAGGAGATTAATGGGATAAGCGTATCATTACAGTAACACAGCATAACATTACAGGTCTAAGGATTAAGTCAGCTGATTTTCTGCGGTGACCCCTAAAGGGAAAAGCTGAACACAAAGAAAAATAAAATAAAAACTGTTATTTAAGCTTTTTACTCATTAGCTCTTTAGATAAATAAATATTGGTGGATCTCTTAAAGGCTTTGAGCATTGAAAATAATTGGTCACTGAATTTTTCATGCAGGCTGATTATGAAAATAGTTTTATAGAAAATAGACAGTGAAACTCTAGGATTTGAAAAGCCTGACAGATCTACGTCACACTGTCACTTAACCTTCATGGACTCACCCATCTTGACTCACGACAGAGAAGGATGTTGTTGGTTTAGCGTTCAGGAAACAGCAGAGATGGTATCGGCTTGTAGAAGCTAACTGTTAGCATTAGCAACTCCACCACACGGCAGAACTCATCCAGGATTGTGTTACTTGTGGAGATAAAACATCAGTGTTACAAAAGCAAACAGCATCAGTGGTAGAGTAGCATTGCTGTTAGCCAATCAGAGATTAAATGTCTAAATATCAGGAAATAACTTTCACATCTGGGCCAGCACAGACACCATTGGGTAGCTTTGTATTTTTCAGTGCTCAACCAACTGGTTTTTCGGCCCACATACCAAGGCGGTCTGCTTCGGACTGAACAGGCCCGACACACCCACTGCCAACTGATTGGCTTGCTCAAATACACACCTACAATTAGGGGGAGCCTCCGATTGGTGGATAGAATCAACCAGTGGGAGCTTCCCACATGTGCAATTCGTTATCATTCTGGATACTGAGAAGTCAACGTTGTCTCTGACTGAAGCTGCTTCCCTCCTCACTGCTGTGAGGAGCACACACACACACACACACACACACACACACACACACACACACACACACACACACACACACACACACACACACACACACACACACACACAGACTTTTATGTGCATCTTTTGCCCTGCCCACCTGCTCACAGATTTCCCCATTCCTGAGAACCTACCGACGCGGGACCCGGACCGATGCCACCCAGTCCGGTCCGTGCTGGCCCAGATGTGAAAACGCTTTAAGACTCCAAATCCTGCATTCTGCAGCACAGACATATAGGTAGAGGCGACGTGGACTGGTGCTGCCTAATGGAGCTGTTGAAGCAGCAGCCCACCATCTTGGATGGGTTCCCATTCACTTCCAGTGCCTTTATTTCTACTGGGGAAGGTGTTCACTCAACTAAAAATCACACTTTGTTATGCTTTTTTCACAAAATCAGACACACTGTATTGCATGATAGTTAACACACACACACACACACATATACAATAAAATTAGATAATTCAAAATATAAAATCTCAACAGGTAGGTTAGAAAAGTCAATAGTAACCCCACAAGGTCTGTTTTCAGTAGCATGCTGATAGTTGCAACTGTAGGCTGCACAAAACATGGGAATAGTTGCTCACCTTGCATTGACACCAGTTTGGTTTGGAGAGTAAGGAACCTAACCAATATGGCAGTTGGCGCTGTTGAGCTTTCTAGTGCCCAATAGGGCATTTACCTATGGTCTGTAGCTCAGCTCTGATGTGCCTCACATACTTCCTGAAACTGGCGCACCAGAGCTATGTTTCCCCAGAGTACGACTTACAAGGCATTGATTCCTAGAAGAGACCACTGCAAATATATTGATTAAATGATTGAACCACACATTTAAATGTAATCTCTTAGCTCCTAAAAAAAAAATTGTAAAGAAAACAGTTACTGACCACAAAGAGTTGCTCTACAGGGATGATGAAACTCTTCGAACCACATCTGTTTACAGCTGCTGCTACAAAACTCACTTTCCGTTCTCTTCTCTCTCTGTAGTCACTCATATTTCTGGGCTGTGTGGCAGCTGCAGGACTCGGTCTCAACCTTCTATGTTTGGCCATCTACTTGAGCTTTTTGTGCTGCTGGCGTAAAGATGAAGACGAGGAAAGCAAGAAGCCCAACTCCTGCTGTGTCACCTGGTCGGCCGTTGCTGCTGGACTTCTCACATGGTGAGAGAAAACAACACAGACAAGCTTTGATTGGTTGAACTCATCAGGCACACATGCTCAGTGTTCATGTTTGCCACTCTTTACCTTTGTTTATCGTTCTACATTCCGATCACAACGCTGTAAGCAGCATGAAGTTCTCACCACTGCACATTTAGTGATCCAACATCAGATTTGTAGCAGCTCCCATGATAACCTTACCACTCAGCCCAACCCAAACGTTTTGCTCATTGGCTGCAGTTCAGATATCAACCCAGTCGACATGTCAGTTGATGTAATATTTTTGTGTTCCTTATCAGAATCTTTTGCATTCATGTAAGTCTGTGTGTGTTATAAAATATTCAAGCTTTCTATTTTCATCTCTGCAAACATTTATGATTTTGGTTTACAATAACGGTCCAATTTCATCTTGCCTTTGATGAATTTTGTCTTTGATCCTTTTTTGGGGAATCTTTGAACTGTAAGAAACTCGTGTGGTTGCTGCTTAGCGTTTCTCTGATGGCCCTTACACTTTGACCATTTGTGTAGGACCTTTGGTTTCATAAACACCACGTAGAATACACCAAGGAAGGCGAGAATGGGCATTGTTGGCTTTTAGTACCAAACAGCCTTTGATATCACGGGCTCAATTATACTTCAATCAGAATTGTATTTACTCAGTTATTATTAAAAAAAGTCCATTAATATTCTTATCCAATGCTGGTTGAGCTGTTTTGGTAGAAGGAGTGGGGATAATTTCAAGTTGCACAAATACCTCATTGTTTTTTTTTAAAGAAAACGGGAAACAAACTTCAACTTAAACTAAATTCTGTTGTATTTGTAAGGTTAGTGAATTAGTTACAATTACATCAATGACCAAAGTTGTTGATGACAAAAGTAATACTTGACATTGTTGTTTTGAAGCTTTCTTTTTCTCCCAAAACCGCTGCTCATGTGAACTTTTTGGATGACCATGACCTGTATAACTGAGAACCTTCACCAGCTGCCTAATATTAACATCATTAGTGAGCTATTTGTATGGGTAGCTGTAACATGAACAATTTTATTACCCTTAGCATGGTGTAATGTTTCAAACTATGGGTGTGTATTGGCAAGAACGATACACTATACAGGTCCTTCTAAAAAAATTAGCATATTGTGATGAAGTTCATTATGTTTATGTTTATTTATGTTTATTTATTTGGCAGACGCTTTTATCCAAAGCGACTTACAATTTATAATTTATAACCTATAGGGAATGTTGTGATCATTATTGTCTGTAATGCACTGATAAACATTAGACTTTCATATATATTAGATTCATTACACACAACTGAAGAAGTTCAAGCCTTTTACTGTTTCTAATATTGATGATTTTGGCATACAGCTCATGAAAACCCAAAATTCCTATCTCAAAAAATTAGCATATTTCATCCGACCAATGAAAGAAAAGTGTTTGTAATACAAAAAAAGTCAAACTTCAAATAATTATGTTCGGTTATGCACTCAATACTTGGTCGGGAATCCTTTTGCAGAAATGACTGCTTCAATGCAGCGTGGCATGGAGGCAATCAGCCTGTGGCACTGCTGAGGTGTTATGGAGGCCCAGGATGCTTCGATAGCGGCTTAAGCTCATCCAGAGTGTTGGGTCTTGCATCTCTCAACTTTCTCTTCACAATATCCCTCAGATTCTTTATGGGGTTCAGGTCAGGAGAGTTGGCAGGCCAATTGAGCACAGTAATACCATGGTCAGTAAACCATTTACCAGTGGTTTTGGCACTGTGAGCAGGTGCCAGGTCGTGCTGAAAAATGAAATCTTCATCTCCATAAAGCTTTTCAGCAGATGGAAGCATGAAGTGATCCAAAATCTCCTGAGAGCTAGCTGCATTGACCCTGCCCTCGATAAAACACAGTGGACCGACACCAGCAGCTGACATGGCGCCCCAGACCATCACTGACTGTGGGTACTTGACACTGGACTTCAGGCATTTTGGCATTTCCCTCTGCCCAGTCTTCCTCCAGACTCTGGCATCTTGATCTTCGAATGGCATGCAAAGTTTGCTTTCATCTGAAAAAAGTACTTTGGACCACTGAGCAACAGTCAAGTGCTGCTTCTCTGTAGCCCAGGTCAGGTGCATCTGCCGCTGTTTCTGGTTGAAAAGTGGCTTGACCTGTGGAATGCAGCACCTATAGCCCATTTCCTGCACATGCTTGTACACGGTGGCTCTGGATGTTTCTACTCCAGACTCCATCCACTGCTTCCGCGGGTCCCACAAGGTCTTGAATCGGTCCTTCTCCACATCCTTCCTCAGGGTCCGGTCACCTCTTCTCGTTGTGCAGCGTTTTCTGCCACACTTTTTCCTTCCCACAGGCTTCCCACTGAGGTGCCTTGATACAGCACTCTGGGAACAGCCTATTCATTCAGAAATTTCTTTCTGTGTCTTACCCTCTTGGTTGAGGGTGTCAGTGATCGCCTTCTGGACAGCAGTCAGGTCGGCAGTCTTACCCATGATTGCAGTTCTGAGTAATGAACCAAGCTGGGAGGTTTTAAAGCCTCAGGTATCTTTTGCGGGTGTTTAGAGTTAATTAGTTGATTCAGATGATTAGGTTAATAGCTCGTTTAGAGAACCTTTTTGTGATATGCTAATTTTTTGAGATAGGAATTTTGGGTTTTCATGAGCTGTATGCCAAAATCATCAATATTAGAAACAAATTTATTTCATAACGCTACACCAGTGTTAAGAAAAGTTTATCTTCAATGGACAACTTTGTTACCAAGGCAACAGCATGCACACTTCGGCAACCTTACGTCCTGACTGAAACAATTTCCGTTCACATATTTTAGTCGGAAAACAACTTTTTTTAATGGATATTTTTTATTTTATTATTTGGGGGATTTCAGGTGCCTAGCTCATTTGATTTTGTAGCACATTTTAAATACTGTTTTTTTGAGTCCCGTGACTCGTTCTCCGTATTTTGTACAAGTTGAAATGTTTATTAAAAGTTGTTGTAAGAGCTAACTCTCTTTATTTTCAGGCAACACATAACACTTAGAGATAACACAGTTAGAAGGTAACAATGGTCATATTAGAGCAGCTGCCTGATGGTGTGATAAGCTACAATTTATGCAGGATCAAATTAGTTCACTAATGTTAAAATAATTGGTAAATAGTCAACTATCAAAATAATTATTTGTGATAGCCCTAGTTTAGCACTCAATAGATCTTTGGTTTCCCATCGACTTAGTTAACCTTTTTATGATTGCAAGCTATGTAAGAAAGGTGAAACAACTTCAAGATCTGCATGGGAGAATTTCATAGAAAATCTTTTTCCTATGGTTGTAAATTATCTGACCTAATATTTATCTTCAGATTTTACTTTTAAAAGAAGTGTTTCATTAAATGTGATTTATTTTGGCTGGAGGTAGCTGGATCTCATCAAGTCTTTGACACTCAAACATTGCTAATGCAACATGACATTATCTTAGCTGCACTGTGAAGAACAGTTAGTAATATTCATATTATTTTCATTAGCTGGTGTGACCTTAGATCACACACTGCTTTCAAACACGCACTGTACTGATTTCTGAAGTTACAGAAACACATTCAGTCAGCACAGAAATCAGCAGATTGAGTCTACTGATAAATTGTGCAGAAGGCAGATAATCTAATTTGTTTCCATGGTGATGGAAGCAAAACCATGTGATGCTTATCAGCTGGTGGAAGATATTAAATTAGGCCCCAAACATGCCTGTTATTATACTTTTTATTGGAGCTCATTGTAAAACACAGTGGTGCATGGTCGTGTAACATTTCCTGAAACCTCAGCAGAATTGACTAAAGCCACATTGTTTGTGAATCACTCCTCTTTCTTGATTTTGTGCTGATTTGTGTGACTGCTATCATATTTAAAAGTCATACAAAAAAACTGAAAAACTATGTTTTTTAATAGTCTTTTAAACCATGAAACTCAGAATTGTGGAAGAGAGCAAAAACATCATGCAAATTTAGAGAGTGATTATAGCTAAACAATGCAGCATAATTGTGTAAAGATGCACTCAATCTGTGCAGAGAAACAGACTGGAAATAACTCAGTGTCTCATCACCTGTTCTAATTCACAAATCAGAGTCAACAACACCTTTTGAATTTAATAATATAATAATTATAATAATAATTCATAAGTGCATTGTTAAGCACATTCAGAGGCATGCCAGACCTGTAGGTGGCAGTAGTTCCCCCAAATCCTATCAATTTCATCTTCCTGCTCAACTACAACAGAACATGAAACATGGCGCCTTGCTCGTTTATGTGGACTGATGAGGAGGTAGGATTGCTAAAAGATAAAAAAGCGCTTGAATAACTGGTAACACGAGCAAAGCTCTGAGGGCATCCATGTTGTAGTGTAAACACAGGTCGCACATGGGCCGTCAGCATTTTTCCAGATATTGTGACTATAAAACAGCAAATGACTATGAATAAAGGAATTTTAATATGGAAAAGTAAACTGTGGAACCAGGAATGCAACAAACTCATTGCTGATTTCAGTAGAAGAAACATAGTTTAATGGAAAATTTAGGTTTATGAAGAAGAATGGAAATAAACTGGTATGATATCTTTTGGGATTCAACTTATTTAAACGAAGTATACCTGGCTGTTAGCTCATCAATCTGATCAGAACATATTCATTTTTACATTTATGGGTGACGGTGGCAAAGGACTTAAGTGCTCTCTCCATAATCGGAAAGTTGCAGGTTTGAGCCCCACTCAGTCTGCTGCTGTTGTTGTGTCCTTGGGCAAGACACTTAACCCACCTTGCCTGCTGCTGGTGGTGGTCGGAGGGACAAGTGGCATTTGTGTACGGCAGACTTGCCTGTGTCAGTGCGCCCCACGGCAGCTATGACTACAATAGTTCATCACCATCAGTGTGTGAATGTGTGAATTAGTGATTGTGTTGTAAAGTGCCTTGGGGAGTTCCAGGACTCTAGAAGGCACTATATCAAAATACAGGTCATTTACTATTTAAA